AGAGAATACGTTCTGGCTCATGGTGTCCCAGCCAGGTAAAAATCTCTTTCCAAACTTTCCAAACTTGATTTGTCAATCAAGACTTTGGTGGCATAGAGTCAAACTCCCCTAAACTCCCTCTGTTTCTCCCTGCTCTTCTCGTCCCTTTTTCACACAATAAATAAGGTGACCTGATTCAAGGACATGTTATGTAAGGCGAGTGTGTGTCTGCTTCGTTTAAATGCTCACTGCTTCTTCTTCCCCAATCAATGCAACAAGAGCATGTTTAATAGGAGCCGAGACTGTGCCACACGCACCTTCTTATTGATTTTCTCATACACTACACACAGCTCTCTCGATTATTGGGACACACACTTCTACATTAATAGGTCAGTTTCTAGTATCTAGTGAGAGGTTACATTAGGCTTAAAGCAAGTAATATTCTTCCCCGCTCTTTTTCTTTGCACCTCAAACAGATCTGGATGAAAACGAATGTGATCTGCTGCTGCTGATGGGGCGTTGAATTTTCCACCAGGGTTTGGGGTTTTACTTTGCTTCTAGGTCATCTCTTCATGTGCAGGATTGTGGGATTTCTGGGTTACTGGTGATGGGTTAACTCTCGTTCAGATCTTCCTCCTGGTGTCGGGTCTGCTCTTTTCCCAAGGGTTGTGGTTTACGCATCTGTCTTTCTCTCTCTCCATCTCTCCCTGCTTTTCCAGACTGCGGGAATAAATACTACGGATAAAGAGCTGGAGATTCTCTACCTGACCAATGTGTCTTTTGAGGATGCGGGGCAATACACTTGTCTGGCAGGGAACTCGATTGGCTATAACCATCACTCTGCCTGGCTTACAGTGTTACCAGGTATACTAGTCTCACTTTCTGGGGTTTCTCTTCACTCCTTTTCTTCCCATGTCTCCACACTTCCTATTTTCTCTGTTGTCCTTGAATGTTCATAGTTTTGCAGTTCAAATGTTTTTGAAATGTTTTCAATGATATTCTCTATGGACCTTAGCCAGGGCAGACGGCAGTCTAATTTTTATTCACGTCAAATTAAATATGCCACCCTGACTAAAGTCTTCTGAAAAACAACCCGGTAGTTTGTAATTGTTTTCAGATTTGAACATGACATATGCAGAGAAAAAAGACGGATGATGGGTTTTTCTCAAAGACTGTTTCCACTCGATAAAACACGCGCTCGTGATGGAAGTGCTTGTCGTGTTTACTGGAGTATTTACTGATGGCACACAGTCCCAGTATCTGGGAGGCCCGATTCATTAATTCTTACATCCTCTGCGCTCATCCTGTTATCCTGCTCTCCGTTCTGCTGCTGTAATTAAAAT